ACGTGACCATGACTGTGACCGTGAGTGTGAACGTGACCATGACTGTGACCGTGAGCGTGGACGTGACCATGACTGTGACCGTGAGTGTGAACGTGACCATGACTGTGACCGTGAGCGTGGACGTGACCATGACTGTGACCGTGAGTGTGAACGTGACCATGACTGTGACCGTGAGCGTGGACGTGACCATGACTGTGACCGTGAGTGTGAACGTGACCATGACTGTGACCGTGAGTGTGAACGTGACCATAACTGTGACCGTGAGTGTGGACGTGACCATGACTGTGACCGTGAGCGTGGACGTGACCATGACTGTGACCGTGAGCGTGGACGTGACCATGACTGTGACCGTGAGTGTGAACGTGAGTATGACTGTTACCGAGAGTGTGAACGTGACTATGACTGTAACCGTGAGTGTAAACGTGACCATGACTGTGACCGTGAGCGTAAACGTGACCATGACTGTGACCGTGAGTTTGACCATGACTGTGACCGTGAGCGTGTCTATCTGCCTGCCTGCCTGTCGGCCTGCCTGCCTGCCTGCCTGCCTGCCTGCCTGCCTGCCGTTCTCAACCTCTCTCTCCATCTCTTTCTACCTCTCTCTCTCTCTCTCTTTTTCTCTCTCTCTCTCTATCTCTTTCTCTCTCTCTCTCTCTCTGTCTCTCTTTTTTGGCTCTCTTTCTCTCTATCCGTCTTTCTCTATCTTAGCACGGGACGTCATATATCTATTTGTTTATTTTTTGTATAACAGATGGCGAGTTGCGTGAGAGGGGGAAAACGCCCTAGACAATATCATTACGCGATTATTCAGTTGGTATCAATAATGGCATGCTTTCAGCAGGTAAGCCGAATGACATTCAGTTTTTCCATATGTCGTCTAAGTTTTAAAATGGATGTACAATTGTGTTTGGAATATCTCTTAGACATATATATTACCAGGAGTGTATAATGACCAATTTGTCATTCTACATTCCTGATATTACGTATATGTTAATTCCAAGTAGACAACACCTGCTGCTGTTGCTGCTACGACTACTGCTACTGCTAGTGCTACTGCTACTGCTACTGTACCACACAGAAAAACACGCACGCACGCACACACACGGGACGCAACGCGCGCTAAACCACACAAGAAAAGTTCGTACGCAAAAAAACAGCGCACATGCATGCGTAATCACACACAACACACAAACACACACACACACACTCACACACACACCAAGCACACACACACAGCACACACATAAGCTGTTTTCTGTTTACACACTGTTCTAGCGGCTAACGCCCATTCTCATGATTTACCGTAATACATTTTGTAACGTACAATTGAGCTATATCTGCTGCATCGTAATGTTTTTCTATAATAGATGAGGCTTTGAGACGTAAGATGTTCTACCCCGCGCGTGTGCTACTGGAAGCGTCGTAATCTACATTTTAGCATTTCCTCTCTTTTTACTTCACTTCGCCTCATATTCGCATCGTTAACATCATATAATAAATAAAGTAAGGGCTTTGCATGCGTAGATTTTGTATTGCAAAAGAGAAATATTTCGTGAATCCGATTTGAGAAAAAATTTTCATTGCGTTACTGACATGACAGATACTGACATATACTACATGACAAAATTTTAATTTTAAGAAATGTCTTGTGTGCAATGAGAAACGACACGTCTCGTAAAATGTTCTCTACGAACTAAATGTACTGCCAAACGCCGTCTAAAGCTAAAACACAAATGTGCTTCTCAAGTTCTACAAGTTGTTTCTAGTATCAATATTTATCTAAGTGTATTAGGACGATCTTATGCTCCCCGCGTCAAGTCAAAATTAATCCACAGTTATAATTAATTATTTAAATGTTTTTGGACAACAGATAGTAAGTTTAGGGTTAGGGTTAACATGCTTAAGATGCATGCTAACATGTTGTGTGTGTGGGGTTGTTGTGATTGTGATGTGTGTGTGAGTGTGTGATGTGTAGTGTTATGTGTGCTGGTGTGTGTGGTGTGTGTGTGTGTGTGTGTGTGTGTGTGTGTGTGTGTGTGTGTGTGTGTGTGTGTGTGTGGTGGTGTGTGGTGTGTGTGTGTGTTTTGAATCAGGAAGTAGAACCTTTAATCGTAATGTAATCTACACCTGATCCACGCCCACTACACACGAAGAAGCACGCGACGCGCGCTAACGCACACAAGTAAATCGCGACTGCAAATAAAACACGTAATCACACACACACACAACACACACACACACACCACCACACACAACACACACAACACACACACCACAACACACACACACGACAGACAACCACACACACACACAATCACACACACCACATACTCGCACACTCACACACGCACCGCACTACCACACACACACTACACACACAGACA